TTGGATAATAAACTACTTATGTAGTTGTAGACTTATACCAAGTAGTAAATGACAAAACCTCTGTAACAAGGTCTGTTAATCTACTAATCTAAGACTAATCAACTCATAGAAGTGTACTTTTCTCTATTCCTGCATAGTTGTCGTGTTCATCTGACTATAATTCCCAAGTGTCTCGCTGACTTGGTATTTTTGTACATTCTGGACATTGGTGGCAAAACTGGCTGTTGTGTTTACGTGGCTGGATGCAGTATTTATTAGCTTCCAGGTTTTTCTTCCTTCATTCTTCCAGAATATTCTCATGGGTACTTTAAAATATTTTTACTTCACACCATCCAAGTTCTAAAAGGAAAATGGAGGCACTTTTCTTATATTTTTTACTGGAGGGTGACCCCTGTCTTTGAGGCCTGAAGGAAACATATAGAAGGAGAGGGCTAAGAGACATCTAGAAATCTCAAGAGCCGTAAGTTATATTAACAGCCCTTTTAATGTAACTCTGGGGGACTAAATGACCCCAAAATGCAGCCCATTATTCTTGGAATCAAATATTCTTTTACTTTCTGATTTAGCTCAGGCTGTTTATAGTGGGTATCGGGAGTGTTCCCTTTGACTGTACCTCTTGTTCTCCTGGAACCCACATGGGGTAGTAGTTAGGACACAGACTTGAATCACGCTGATGTGTGGGGCCAGGCTTGGCCACATGTTATCTATGTGAGCTTGAGGCAGTCACCCAGCCTTTCTGGGCATTGTTCTTTTAATTTTTAAATTTTAAAATAAATAGAAAGCACCTTTTCCTATTCCTTAGATGGTTGAGAGCCTACAGTAAATTATTTGGGATCTTATCACTTATAAGAGATCATGTATGAAAATTATGTGTGTGAAGATTCTTTTTTAAAAGCAAATCAGGGCAGAGGGGTATGTTGTAGAGAAAAAAAAGAGGCAGGCTTAAAAAAAAATCTTTGTGAGCAAGGCAGAAAGAGAGATGACTAATTTAGGTCAAGAACTTGCAAAAATCATGCCCCAACTTTCTTGAGCTTTAAAATTTCCTAAATTTTCAGAGGTGATCATGTGTACCCCAGGACTGAGATCACAATGCAAAGGCAATTCAGGGGGGGGGGCTGAGCTTCATGCCAGCTGTGAATTTCCTCAATATGAGACTGAGGCAGGGGGTCTTGTTGTTCTGGAGTTCTGAGTTCATCTGAAATAACTGAAAGCGTGACTGTGGGTAGTATTTTAGCATAGGAGAGAAAGCATTCTAAAAAGGATTGAATTCTTAAATGGCAAATGAATAAAGCCAGGGAAACTGAAGAGGGTACCATTTAGTCAGTCTGAAGAATCTGTGCTATCTCGTTTCTCCTAGCACCAAAACTAGGCAAACAGTACTGATACTATTATTTATTTATTTATCCTTATTTTGTAACCAAAGCATCTGAAGCCATATTGGCTTAGAGTGATGGTAAATGGCAGCGTGTAAACTAGATGTAGACTTGAGTCTGCTAGCTTCATCTAGTCTTTATGGATCAAGTCATCCAATATCTATTTGCTAAAGCCCAGAGAGGTTAGTGGCTTCTCAAAAGTCACAGAGCAGCAAGTGGCAGAGCCAGGCCTTTCCTCCAGGCCTTCAGACTCGTATTTACCCATCCTGGGGTGAGTATGAGTAGTGGGAAGCTTATATCACATCTGCCTGGCTCTCAGCAGGTGGCCTCAGTGAGCTGGCATTCCATGGCAGTGGGTGGCACATCTGCCCGGGAACATGCCACACTGAGGACTAGAAGAGAAGTCATTAAATAGCCTCACACAACAGGTCTGATATGACAATTTAGTGGCATGGGGTGGAATTCGAGAACTTTAGACAAGTAGCTGAAATACTTGATAAGGCTCTAAGGCTGTTATTACTCCAGAGAGAGTAGCAGAGGCAACTCAGGGTCTTCATGATGGAGAAACAAAACAAAGGGGACTTGGTAACTTGATATAGGTCTCTAGGTTTTGTAGATTTATAGGTGGTCTTAAACTCGGGGACAATTTTGTAGTGCCTTGAATAATTTAGATAAATTTCCCCTTGAATATGTAGAAAACAGCAAGTTTCTTATAAGTAGTAATGGATAAAAATAGAATATCTTTTAGGAAACATTTAAATGACTTGCCATGGTGAAAGTAGTAGGTTTTAAGGGGAGAGGGGGGAGAAAGAAGAGAGGGAAGGGGAGAGGAGGGGAGAGGAGGGAGAGTGGAGAGGAGAGGAGGGGAGGGGAGAGGAGAGAGGAAAAAGGAATGAGAATTAATGTATAGGGAAATGGTATTGTTAGTTCTGATATCTCACTGTAGGAGACAGAACTGATGGATGTGCTAAATTGTCTCCACTAAAATCATTGAGTTGTATTTAAGCAAATTTATTTTATTTCTCCTATATTTTATATCATAGAGAAATCTTTGCAGAAACAAGTTTCCCAGTGCTCTTTTTTATGCAAGATTAAGCAGCAGAGTATTTTACTAGGTGAGCACAGAAGAGTTCTACCACATCAATGTTTTATTTTGTTTGAGGACAGCACCCCACATTGCCATAGAAGGGGTGTGTGTGGCTAGCAAAGTTTATTCTTGTCAATATGCTGAGATGTTCTTATTTATCTCTTCACTACAGTGGGCACTGAGCTAGGAACTGGAAAGAAGATGAGAATAAATAGGGTTTCAGAGTTAGACTTCAGTTACAGTTTTCATTTTGTGTGTGTGTGTAGTGTGTGTGTGTGCATATATATATACACATATATATACATATATATATATTCAGAGAATCAAGTGCATCACCTCTCCTAGGTGATTGCATCCTTTCTTGTGGCCTCAGTCTCCCTTTATCTACCAGTGAGTTCCCATCCCCTATATCCAATGCAGAATGCCAGAGACTAATATGTCATTTTTTCTTCTTTCCTCTCGTCCTCCCTCCCTCCCTCCCTCCCTTGAGGCATCATGCTCTAACCTTGCATTTCTCTCAAACACGTTTTCCCCAGTTAAGTAAGCCATGATCGTTTCTCTCATGGATTTCCTTCTGCTGCCTCCTCAATCCTTTGCTGTCCTTCAATACTTTCTCTACCCCCACTGGTGTCGCAAGAGCAAAGTGTAGGGAAGGTCTGCCTTAGGTGCAGTCAATAGGTGCTGCCTTGACTGAAAGAATTGGAGGAGCTGAATAGGCCAGCCCCATACAATGTTATTGATACTTTAACTTGTTTTGAGCTGAAGTCAATTAGGACCCAGCTGCAGGAATCTTTTCATTACCTCTCCCTTAACTGCTAAAAGTAATTTAGATGGAGGACATCTTCCAGGAAGTGTGAGCTGTCTCCAGAGTTAACTGCATAGAATATGAGCTAACTGTGGTTGACTTGGGGGTGAGGGACCTGTTTGTTCAAATTCCTCTGTCCCTTCATCTCTGCATGGCATCGCAATAATTAGCTCCTAAACATTTGCTTTTCCCATCTTCCTATAATTGTCTTCCTCTCCTTTAAAGTCCCAGACCCTACCCCCTTCTCCCTAGCACAGGATGGCATTCAAAACCCAATTACCTGACTGTCTGACAGTTTCATGTTTTTGTGGGGCCCCCATAGGCATGAAATTAAAATTTCCTCCTGCTAATCTGCCTTATGTCAATTTAATTAGACCTAGACCTAGAAAATTTTTCTTCCCCTACACAAATGAACAGCAAAATATATTAAAAATCAGTGAGTCTTTTATTACCAATAAACATTGACAATTCTAAACAATTTCAGTAATAAAGTGCTGAAATTATCAGTGGTCTAAGTTGTATACAATCGTTAGAGTTGCTGTTGAATTTTAATAATTAATATAGACGCTTTAGAGTAGCCCTTTTAATGCTTATATTTTATATGTTCACTTTTCACCTTACACTTTAATAAACACAAAACTCCACCTCAGAGAGCTTTCAGCCACACAGCAGGACCCTGGCAGGTGTGAACTCATCAGTTCTCATTTGTTTGAGGGATCAGTTCATGAGGATTCAGGAGCAGAGGAGCTGACTATAGTTATCTGTCAGTTGTGGTTTATATTTCTACTCCTTTTGTAATTACACATTCAAGCATTTCAACAGTAGACCCCGATTTAACAATGATGGCACAGTGATTAAAGAGCTAAAGAGACAGAAGTTAAGTTACTTCCATTCTATTTACTATTCAATGTAGCCATATTGATACTTTCATTATAGGCTTAATCATCAACACAGCCACACTTATTTTTTGTTCCTACATGCTGCAATTTACTAAATATAAGTGTCTTTAAAATGAAATTAGTTTTTAAAAAGCATTGTTTCAAAGTACAAGTGTTTCAGAATATTATTATTGAAAAAAATTGAAAGTAATTTTGCTTTATACAGGAAGATCATATTGACAATGACCTACCTCAGCCCCACACTGTAGGCAACCAAAGTGAATTTCTTAAAAAACCCGAGTCTGATCATTGCTTAAAACCACCAGATTCACACCCTCATGGAGAACTGTTAGGCCACACACAGTCTGATCCCTGTCTGCCTGAGGCCACTTACCTATACCACCCTTCCCCCCCCCTCTGATCCCTGTCTGCCTGAGGCCACTTACCTATACCACCCTTCCCTCGCCCCCCCCCCCTAACTGCCTGTCATACCTGATTTCATTATTTCATTCACTTCCTAGGCCTATGCCAAATCCTTTCTGCCTCTGAATAAACCCCAGGAACTACACCCTACCTTTGCCTGAGTCCCCATTCTCCTTTGCATTTCAGTACATATGTCTCTTTTTATAGACACTTTCCCCAATGCTAATGTCTCCCCTTGTACAAGCACCTTGTACTTAGCAACTATCAGGATTGCTAATCATGTACCTGCCTGACCAAGGTCATCTCCCCTCAGGCAGCCTCTGCATTGCCTGAGCACATAGATGCCATCCTATCTGTGTGAACAAGAGAGGACACTCTAGAACAGGCCTTTCCTTTAAGTTCCTAGTTTTATTATTATTTTTTTTAATCCACAGGGAAGCAGGTCCAGATAGCCGACTGCTGTGCCCTGGAGGATGAGTGGTTGGTGGCTCTGGCTCGCCACCAGCCCCGCTCTCTCACTCTGCAGCGCTGCCGCCATGTTGGCCAGGCTGTGACCCACCGTGGGCTGAAGAGACTTTTCCAGCACTGCCAGGATGTTCTTCAGGTATCTGTATCTGTCATATCACAGAACCCTTCCATCCCTTTCCATCTACCTTTCCTCTCACTACTATATTTCTTTTGCATAGGATTTATTAAAAATGTAGTGGATTGAATATAACACATTCACTTGATTTGAAGAGATATTGCTTGACAGCTTTCACTATCATTTATGTTGTTCTGGTTTGCTGGGCCTGTCATAATAATAAGGTAACACAGATTGCGTGGCCGAGGCTACAGATTTAATTTGTCTGACAGTTCTGGAGGCTGGAGGCCTGAGATCAAGTGTCTACAGGGTTGATTCTTTCTGAGGGCTGTGAGGCGGTCTGTGAATGACTCTCCTAGGTCTTGGCGGTGTGTTGAAAGTCTTTGGCATTCCCTGACTTGTAAAACCTTACTGGCCCTCTGCTTTTATCTTCACCTAGCATTCTGTGTGTTGTGTGTCTGTGTGTGTCCAGATTTCCCCTTTCTATGATGACACCAGTCATATTGGATTGGGGAGGCCCCCCCTAATGTATTTGCAACTACAATGACCCTATTCCCAGCTAAGGTCACATTCTGAGGTACTGGGGATAAGATTTCAAAGTATAAAGTTTTGGAAACCAAACTTCAATCCATAAAGATAATCCACATGATATTTTAATATTTGCTGAGACATTCATGTGATGAAAAGCACGTTACAATTATCTGAGCATAGAACTTAGCACCTATATTTTAGGTAATTTTTTGCTTATTTCAATATGCACTGAATTTCTTAGTGTAATTACCAGGTTTATTGAAGAAAGATGAGTGTGCTCTGTTTTGTTTGGAAATTTACTGAGAATTGTTCATGTCATTAAGAATCGTATCATTAAAACAGTATCACTGTACATAGTATTTGGGTCACCTAGGCTCTTCACTTATAGATAAATGTCAGGTTTCTGCACATGGTCTGGAATATACTTTTTATTTTGTTACATAGTTTTTTTTCTCAGGTGGAAAGAATGGAATTAAAAATATTTCTAATCCAGGTTCCCAGATATTTTCTTCCAAAATATTATGGGAAGTATGCATGCACACAATACATACTTGGTAGAGCATAAATTTACATATCTGTGGCATTTGGAAGATATAGTATATAAGCTATTATAAAATACTTTGAAATTCTGTTACCTTTTACATTCCTCTTAAGATCGTTGATTTTTTGGTAGTCTTTCTTCTCTCATGTAATTACTAAGTGTTCTGTCTACTCTGCATGATTTTGTCTCCAAGTTTCCAGAAATCTGACATTTTAGTTATGACTTTAGTTAATGTTTTTAATGTGGGAAATATTCTTGGGAGTTGGAATACAACAACACTTTAAAACAGTTAAGTTGTTCATTTAGCATATTTACCAATCAACATATTAGAAAATTTCAGTCTGAAAAAACTTTAAAAAAGAGTTTTGCAGGCCCTTCCTGGTAGCACAGTGGGTTAAAGCACAGCTCTACAAAGCTAAAGCCACCTCAGCAGGTGCTCGATCCTAGGCCCAGGAGGTGGCCCACATGCTGTGGCAGACCTCTCCTGACCCACTTGCGGCTCCTCTCAGCAGTGTATTTCAGTTAATCTGTCTTTTCTGCTCCCCAATCTGTCTCTGGTGAATCCTCTCAATACCCCTGCACCTCTGGCCTGTACCCCAGTTCTGTATGCATAAATAAATAAACCTTTAAAAAAAAAGAGTTTTGCGTATTTGGAGAGTGTTTCCACTCTTCATCTGAGTTCACAGATTAACAGTGGAGGAGGACAGAGGGTGTCTGCTCTCTGTTGACATTCATGGATCAACTGGTGCACAAATATTGGCTTCTTTCTTGCTATTAATAACAAGCAAATGGCAAATCTATTCTCCACAACAGTAAAATTATGAAATACTCCAAGGGGCACATAAATGTGTGTGTGTTTAGAACTCCCTTCACCTGTGGAAATAGCACATAGTAGGGGCTTCATAAACATTTAATCAAGAACCACAAACATTTTTCAGAACAGGAAGGACCCTTAGGCATTACCTAGGCTATTTCACTTGTGTGCCCTCATCTTTTTCAACCAATGATACTGAGGTTCACAGAGATGAATTGAATTGCTGTGACTATTCATCCCCTTAGTCTATTTGAAGATCTTATAAAGAAATTTTGCATTTTTATATGGATGTTTTTGAGGACTTAACTTGTGAGCCACCAGATGACTTCAGGAAACCTTACCTTCAAGAACTCTACTTTTTGCTTTTTTAGCACTTTGATTATCTATGTCAAATGTCATGGGTTATTAAACTACCAGGCAGATCATTCCTTATAGTTTCATTATAAATGATCCATGAAATAAATTTCGCAAAAAACTCAGACCTGGGGTTATTTGTCATTGTTTTGACTAATTTGTTTGTCTGCTTTATGGAAAGTATGAGCATGCTTTTTTCTTCACTTTGGCTGCTAGAAAATACAGGCTTATGTTTGTGAAATTAAACAGTTTAGTAGGACATTACATATTTTGACTTATATTTTGTAAAGTGACCTATTCTTTGACCTACTTTTATATTTTCTGCACTTTTTCTTTGTTTGCTCTTATGTTCTATCTTCTTTATTTATACTTTATTGACCTGTGGTTATTTTAAAGTTACATGAAATGTGTCGACCTCCACCAAAACAATTAGTTATTTAAACAAGCAGGGTTTATTTGGAATCAAAACAACAAAAGAGCAGGCAGAGAGTCACAAGTAATTTTTTAAAATTCTCATTCCACCGCTAACCTGGGTAGCTTCTGGAGACCCACCCTCGCAATTCCACCCGAAAGGGAAACAGTAGCACTTGTAATGGATGTTGGGCCTTGTAGTTTGTTCATTCATGCAGGCTTTGGTACATGCTAATCTCATTTAAATAGAATTTTTAATATTAATGTTCACAGATCCTTTGCAACATTATCCTTAATAATCTTCTTTGGATCTATTATGCATTGCATACCAGAATATGAGTCTCTGTCAATTGATCTGCTTTAGAGGCTGTGGTGAGGCAGGCTTAAAGGATAGAAAATCCAATTAGCTGTCTTCTTTTTTTTTCCTCTGGGAAAAAAAAAATCGAAAAATGTTGGAGCCCTACCAGATAGGAAGACCATAATATAAAAGAAGGGTTGTCTCAAAAATGAAGGATTTTAAGTTCTCTAGCTCTAAATGGGAAAATAAATTATGGCATTTAACACTAACATATAGAGAATATCTTCAAAAAATCATTTTGAGTAAATTAACCAAGAATTTTCTCAAGCAGTAGAATAACCCTAGGTAGGGGTCTTCATATATGATTTGAAAATTATGCCATAGTATGACTCAAACTGAGAGGTGAACCATACTTGATTATTTCCTTTTATATTCTATAGTCCTTGTTAAAGATATAATTATAGCTGTATGTCATCTGTATTTTAGTAAAAATTTAGTTAGCACCTCAGCAATTCATATTGTTTATTAAGGATTTTTAGCAAACTGAGGAGACAGATCCAAAGATTATTTGGAAGAGTAGAGTCAAAATCTTCTGGATGATTGAAATTGCTTTTTTTTTTTTTTTTATGAGTTAGAGGATTTTAATCCTAGAAATTAAGACTAGAAGTATTGGTGTGAATCAAACCAGTGCTATTAATATTTTGTGTTAGAAATCTGCATATTTTTGCTTTTAATTACTTAAATTTTGAGAGGGTTTGGTTTATTAAAGTAACAGATTATCCTTATAACTCTAAAGTGTGTGACTAAAAAAGTGATTGAAAGATGTAAATTAAGACTTGAATTCTAATTTGAGTCCTGTTTTTTCTCCTTCATCCCAAATACTGTAAGAAAGTGATTAATTAGTGTAACTTAGTTCCTCACCAGTAAGTAGGTTAATGCTTAATTTCTGACTGCTGTTTTCTTTTGTGCACCATCTGCCTCATGTTCTCTGGTGGATCTGTGTACTATCACATGTCTGTGTGTTTCTTCATGTAGTTTCACATACCCACTGTCTTCTCTCTTCTTGGAAAAACTCAACTCATCCTTAAAGACATGGCAGAAATGGCATCTTGGCTGATGTCTTCTCCCTGGCAATGTCAACCCCCCCCCACCCCACCATGGTTGTCCCCCAACCCCTTCTATAGACTGGGATTTCTGCACATTTTGTGCTCTGTGTTTCCTTTCCTGAAATGAGTATGTGACTGTCAACTGTCAAATCAGGCACAGATCACGACCGAGGGCATAATAATCACTTAACACATGCTAAATTGACCTAAACTAATGAGCTAAATAGCAAGCCATTTATTACTCAGCCAACTCTTACTTAGGATTCATAAAATCCTAAGGACTTGAAAGATAAATCTAGTTCTGTCATATTTTGTGTTCTATGGAGTATTTGAAGTAAAATCTCTATGCTATAACATATCATGAAAGTCACTGATTCTGGACAAATTTTATTTATTTATTTTAAAAGATTTAATTATTTAGGCATACAGAAGTGGGGTACAAGCCAGAGGTACAGGGGAGGTGAGAGGATTCTCCAGATACAGAGTGGGGGCAAAGCAGGCAGATCAACAAAGTACACTGCTGAGGGGAGCAGCGGGCAGGTCAGGAGAGGTCTGCTGTGCCATGTGGGTCACCTCCGGGCTGGGGATCAAACTCACACTGAAGTGGCTGCAGCTAGCTTGTAGTGCTACTTCCTAACCCATTGCGGCACCAAGAGAGGGCCATTGACATACTTTATTTTGAGATGAGTAAACCAAAGATTTTTTTAGTTTAAAAATTAGATAACAGTTGAGAAATTAAATGAGTCACCAATATGAGTTCTCATTTTTGAAAATCTGTCAATCTGCTATGACCTTTTCCAGTTTGCCAAGGTCCTCACCACTCCCTATAGTTTCCCTATTGCAGATGCCAAGTATTAAGAGCAGCACTGAAACCAAAATAATGACTCTCACATAGCCTGGTCATACTCCTGGTCTTCTCCTTCCATGTTACTTGCCTGTCACTGAAGGCAATTGAACGTGAACCTT